ATTGTTTTAAATCCCAAACACCGGAGATATAAGGAAGATAATCCCTTGTTAACCCCTTTGAGCCTAGTTGTAGGAGTTTCTTTCTGAAGATAGACGAACCCTCAATATTAACCCGGGGCAGGGTAGGTGTCAGTTAATTTGACCAGGCATTCAAATTACAAAAGGAGTGTTCGTTCGAGGATCAATCACACCGCTATAGGTCGTACCTAAAAAACCATGATGGTTAAACCTGGCCGATCAGGAGTGAAACAGTCACAATCTCTTTAACAAGTCATACGAGCCGATGCCATACGATTTGTTCAAAAAAAAAAGAAAGAAAAGAATAAAAAAGAAAAGCCCGCTAAGTCGAATCTTGAAAGCAAGCGACTTAGGCAAAAATTAGGGTACCCCGCTGGACTTCAAAATTTAAGATACTCTAAAGAGTTAGTCCAGGCAAAAGTTAGGGGGAAATAAAAAACGAAAAACGAGAAAAAACGAAAAAATGAAAAACGAAAAAAGATTACGAAAGAAAATCCTCAAGCAAGAGCGAAATCGTGTGGCTAACGGCGCCCAAAGAAAGACAAAAAGCGAGTGACTGTCACTTCGAAAAAGGATGATTTCTTGAACTATCACTCAACCTTTGAAAGGTGAACGCTAAGGTCGAATTAGCTAAACGTAGGTTGGAGAACATCAAGGAGAATGGGTGGGTTAAAATGACTTTTGAGCCTTTATCTTTTCTTTTTTTAAACCGTGAACCTGACCACGTTACAACCTTTAAAAGACCTAATTGAAATAAGTTTGTTTCGAAAGCATACTTCGGTAAAGATCGCATCGGAACTGACTCCTAGATAGGATTCCCATTACTGCGTTGTATTGATGTTGATAATATTGATGAATGATTCCATATATTATGTCATAAATTTTTTCTTTTTTTCTTTTTTCCAGTGAACAGGAATGGATTTCGAAAACTGCCATATGCATTACATTTGATATGTCTTTTATGCAGAACAGTTTGTTTTACTAGCGAGTAAGCGCTTCACGGCAGGAAAGTTTCCACGATGGAAAGACGTGATCAGAACAGAATTCAGAATGCCTGAATATTCCGGTGAACCGGAGCAAGCTATGTCAAACGATCACAGCATGGGAGTCAGCCATCCAGAAGTCAGTTAATCTGAAGCAGTCAGATCAAGATTCCGTGAATCTCTCGAGGACAATCAGAGGTATTTCCTCACAGATTAGCCAATCCGAGGCAAAGTCGTTGCAAGACAGGGGCAGGCCACCCTAAGAACGCAGAAGTTATTCCTTGCCCGTGGGGCAATTAATATAAAGCACCTCTTCCAGGTTCGATATGCTGAGGCAGATCAAGGTGCAGAGATTGTAGATTTCCTTTCAAGGAACATCCCCACAGAGATCCCATAGGTTGGGACAAAAACTGAAAGCAAAGGAGTCGTTCCTTCCCGTGTTGGCATAGATTGTCAGATTTTATCAGAAGATTCTGGGGCAAGCCATCTCGAGTTCGTTTTATGGCATGTTTTTCCAAGCAGGATGATTCCTTCTTCCCCAACGAGTTCAGCGGTGGTCCCCCACGGAGTCTGAGCATGGGACCGTGAGCATTGATATGTCTTCCCAAGAAAAGATGGATTCTCCCCGACCAGATGCATCCTATGCACACTACAAGAAAAAAGGAGATTTACGACACTTGAGTTGCGACAGTTATCTCAAAACCGTCCTTATTCCTGGATTGCAACGATTTTCACGACAGTTAGGGTCAACTGTCGTAGATTTTTTGTGACAGTTATCAAAAAACCGTCCTTATTCCTGGACTACGACAGTTTTCATGACGGTTTGAGCCAACTGTCGCAAATTATTTAGGCATGTTGTATAAAATAATGCGACAGTTACCAAAGAACCGCCATCTTTCCGCAATCGCGACAATTAAGGCGGACTGTCGCAATTACTTTAGTCAATCATAATCACTATTTTTTTATTTCTTTAATTTTCCACTTTTTTCTTCATTTTTATTTTCTAACCTTTTCAATTTTATTAATTAATTTAATAAATAATTATTATAATTATTATAATTATTATAATTATTATAATTTTCATGACAACGTAGCTTAATAGTAATAAATTAAATTTAAAATACATAAAAATTAAAATTTTATATATACTTAAAATAAAAATTCAATTTTAAAAACAATTTTTATAGTAAAAATTAAATTCAAAATATTATATCCAAAATTAAATTATTAAAATTAAACTATATATCAAAATTTTATAAACTCAAAATTTTAAAAACAATTTTTATAGTAAAAATTAAACATAAAATTAGACTATATATAATCATAATAATATAAAATATCAAATAAACAATACATTTCAATCAACATTAAAGAGAAATATAAAAAATTAATTAAAATAAAATTGTACTATTTCTTCCAAAATTTCGTCTTTTTTCCCCTAAAATTGAAAACTGATTCTCCGTGTATTTTTCTCATCTTTTTTTAGAAATCTCCATTCATCCCCTTGGAGAAAGAAAGACACAAACTTTTTTCTCAGCCACTCACGCCGTCATTGCGAATCATCACCGTCAAAGCAATCATCATCAATTCGAATCTTAATAGGTTTGTTTTCTCAAACCCTAAATTACTTTTCAAACCTTAAATCGGATCCTGGTTTGAAACCTTGTATGTTGTTAATTCAATAGTTTTGTCCTGAGTTCGTATCAGACTCGATTTTGTTTCCGGTGACAATACAAATTCTACAGCAACAATACAAAGTTGTATGTTAACCTATTAGGCCTTTGAAATTCGAGTTTAAAAATTCTGATGATAGTAATACAATTTTTAGGTCCAGTCCTTAGATATAGAGGTCAATGATGACACATTTAAAGGATTAACATTTGTCGTTCTATCAGACGAAAAGTGGTTCAAGAACAGTGGGTCATATTTTTGTATTGAATTTGGTGGGAAGAAGTAGATACAGAAGGTTACACTTTATGAAATTGTTATTATTGGTTCCCTAAAATCGACGTATATTTGGTTGATTTTCACATTGTTATTTTGATTAATGAGATTTTTTTTCCATAGAAGGATTTTGGTGATGGGAAAGGTACAACTAAGTTCTTGCTGGATAAAATAGCAGATATTGAAAGTGAGGCACAAAAGTCCTTTATGCATAGGTACGTTAACCCTAAAAAAGTTTTACTGTTCTTTTGAATTGTTGTTAGATGTCATTGTCATTATGTATAAGTGAGACACGACTTTGGAAGGAGTCATTTCATTGCTTGTGTGACAAGAGGTATTATTGCCAAAATTCTGCTCAAGTAACTACTCTTACCATGCCTTCGGTTTACCGCCAGTAAGACAACACACACACAACACTAAGCGTTTATTGAAAACCTCTGATTATCCACCAGTTTGTGGGTGATAGGAGGAGCTCATAGCTAAGGACATGCTGCTTAATTTAAACAAGTGTTGCCAAATTTACCAGTGAAGATTTTGGCTCTATCAGAGACAATACTCTTGGGAGAACCATGCAACCTAACTATCAAATTCATGAAAACTTCAGCAACCTTCAAACTTGAATAATTGGATTTGAGAGGAGCAAAGTGACAGTTCTTAGGAAGGGGATCATTTACCATCAAAATGGCTGTGTAGTTAACTGATGAATGAGACAAAGATTGAGCTGAATGTCCCTACTCAGAAATTCTTATATGCTCCAGCCTAGAAAACTTAAAATCCCCTCCTTTAGAATCATTTGACAGAAAACACAATTCCTGAGAGCGCCCTGTGACTTTCAACAGCCAGGCGACCATAATTGTTTTGAGGAGCCACTAAACATAAAATGCAAACTCTTTTCAGGTACTCTTAAAGGAGGCACATTAAGATGGTTTATTTACTTACCTCGACATTCAGTGGCAGGCTTCAAATTCTCGGCATGAAACCAGGATCCATGTTGTTAGCCTATTGAAGGAGTTACTCAAGTAAAATTGTAGGATTTATAATTGTTCCTTTACCGATGCTTTGCACAGGCCTCCCTAGATAAGGGGATTTAGAAAGAACCATAGATATACTGTCCAGTAGCCGATCTTGAATTGTTGGCATCATAGATGGAATGCTGAATAACCATATATATATATATATATATATATATATAAAGTATTTTTTAGACAATGACATAAAATAGACATGTGGTGTGATAAGAAATGATCAAAACAAATTGAACTTAGAGATAAATTGAAATCACCGCTATCGTCTTCATTTCGACGTTAGGTGCAAGTTGCTTCAACGAAACATCGGTTTTTTTGTTCAGAAGTTTGCAGAGCAGAGAAACCATTTTATAATTCCAATGGACAGCGCGTGGCATAAACCGTTAAACGAAGAAGCTTTAGATAATCAAAGTCATCTGTTACATGGTGTGATTCATTGCAATGGTTATGGCCATTTAATATGTCTTAATGGAATTGAAGGTGGTTCCAAATTTCTCAGTGGGAGAGAGATCATGGATTTATGGGACAAAATCATGGACTTATGAGGACTTCATCATCCGTGACAGAAGTTCACACATAAAAGACAGTTCTTCAATGAAAATCCACCTGTGGCTGCTTCAACTTCTTCATAAGTAAATTCCTTTTCCCATTCAATATTAGGTCTTTTAGTTTTGCAAACTGAGCGTATAGAACACGTTGAGGCATTTTTTCTTTGATCTTGTCTCATACAAAGTTCGTTTGTTTGATCATCGTTGCTCACAAGCATTGTGTCCATATCATCCTCATAAGGCATATTTTCAATATGTTCTTCACCATGGCATTGCTTATCTCCTATTTTGTCTATGATTTTGTTACTGCTTATATCAGTTTTATCCATGCTAAGAATGAATGTTGAGGAGATTTAGAATGAACCATAGATAATTGCCTAGGTCATTGAGGAGATTTCATTACTGCTTATATCAGTTTCATCCATGCTAAGAATGAATGTTGAGGAGATTTAGAATGAACCATAGATTGGCAAAGAGTCAGAATGCAGGAGACTTCCAAAGAGATACCCGCGGGCTCTTTGCCTAGGTCATTGGATGTTATTCTTCGTCATGAGATTGTGGAACATGCAAGTGCCGGTGACACGTAAGTCTTTTCTAGCCACTTATTTGCTTGAAATATTCAAATTTTACTGAAATTTTAACTTTTCTTACTTTATCAACTCAATAGTCCAACCATAAACTATCTCTTCGCAGAGTGATTTTTACTGGCACTGTAATTGTCATACCGGATATATTGGCATTGGCATCCCCTGGTGAGAGATCAGAATTCCGCAGGGAAGCTTCTCAACGCAAGGGTTCTTCATCTGGAAATGAAGGTGTGAGGGGCCTTAGGGCTTTCGGAGTCAGAGACCTCACCTATCGTCTGGCTTTTATTGCCAACTCTGTTCAGGTTGGCTATTTGTGTTTTATTATTGGTTTGTTAAATTTTTATGATGTAACCTTAGCTGTGATTGATGTGTTTTCTGAATGGTTTGTCCCAGATTTGTGATGGTAGAAGAGAAATAGACATCAGTAATAGGAAGAAGGATTCAGAGGAAGATGACCTGCAATTTTCTGTAAGTTGAATATTACCTCTGCATTATTATGTCACCATCTGGTAAATCATCATCTGTTGCTGGTTTGACTGCAACTGTTTCCAAGGAACCAGAAACTGGAGAGTTTTGTATTGAGGTCAATATTTTGTCTTGTACTTACTGGAAGTTTTGAAATATCTTCACTCTTATTATTAGCAGCTGGATAGAATAGCCTAAGAAAAAGATTGAAAATTTATACCATTCACAAACATCTGTTACTGGAGTTGTGTCTTCGATTTGGCAAATTTAAATTGGCACATACCATATCCTAGTTTAAATTAGATTAAACTAATGCTACTGTTTGTCCCAATTACTTGACAAAGTACAATAATATGATTATAGCTGGTTTAGGTTGAAAGTACTTGCTGGAAATTAGTTATTTGATAAATGAATATTATGAAATATTTTCATGTTGTAATTAGAATTTTTCATCTAGAAACCCCTATAAGCGTAGCATTAAAACTATTTATGAAACATGACTTGAGGAGTTTTCTGAGTTATAAACTATTTCCAAAGGAGTGGGTATTAAGAAATATGTCTTGTTTTCTAATGTAAGACCTATTTTTCAGGCTGGTGCGTTGATGCTTGTTGACAATGGTATTTGCTGCATTGATGAGTTTGACAAGATGGACATAGGAGATCAGGTATGAGGCATACAATTTTGACTGGCTTTAAACGTTCATAGATTGGGTTGTATCTCATATTTGATTCCATTAAAGGTTGCAATTCAAGAGGGTATGGAACAACAAACTATTAGTATCACTAAAGCAGGAATACAAGCAACACTCAATACTCGTACTTCCATTCTTGCTGCTGCCAACCCTGCTGGAGGACGGTACGATAAGTCTAAGCCGCTGAAGGTAACATGCTCTGCTAGCCTGGCTATTAATCACTTTTTGAGTACAACACAGCCTAATTTAATTTTTTCCCCTGTTTTATTGTTTCAGTATAATGTGGCTCTTCCACCAGCTATACTTTCAAGGTTTGATCTTGTATACATTATGATTGATGACCCTTAAGAGTTTTCAAGGACTTGAACAACTTTGATAGTGATCCTGAAGAGTTTGCAAGGACCTTCTATAGAGACATGGGCATTGAGGATCCTGAGGTTGGAGTAAGTATATTTAACTATTTCTAGTAATGAATTAATTTGTAATACGTAAACAGACAAAATCTTCTTTAGTAATTGTGAAGCATACTAAACACCAAAACACTACTGTTTTGCAGCCAGCTGTTGCCTTTGCCATCAGAGAACAACTTTATGAGGTCATTCATTCTGTTGATCAGTTAGTTTATCATGTTTGTGCATTATTTTGTATATACATGGCTCATTTACCATCATTTTAATACATTTTCATATTCAGATTGCAATTCAAAGTGTGGTTTCAGCAAGAGAAAGCAGACTAAGCAAGAAGGGTCGTTGAGGGACTGATTTTACTCCAGTCAGGTTTTTCATACTCTTCTACCCTAGTTCAGTCGACGTAAATAATGCATTTTTATTATAAATTCAGAGTATATATATGTATCCCTAATCTATTATTTAGTCATTGTCTCATCAATGATCTCTTGACAGTAAAGGAGGCGCCGTAGCAGTGGACTTGGTCAAATTATTTGGTATTAAATCAAGTGTTGTTCAGTAAGTGACATAAATTTATGCACTATTGTTTTCTGAAATTCAATCATTTTCGTTTGAACATTTATATCATCATGTAAATAATTATGCCGACATTCAAGAACAAGGCTATTTGTATGTTTAATTCAAACTTATGTGCAATTTTTGGTTCAAAATGAGAACTTCATATGCTTTGGTTGTTTTGGTTGAATGCATCAGGAAAAGAAAGGAGTGGGGCGTATATGAACCCATTGTGGATCTTCTATCCAACGAAGAAGTTCAAAAGAGTATATATTTTTAATGTTTTAGTTTGAAGTTATTTAGATGTATACTAGATGGTTTTATAAGACCAAAAATCATTGATTCAGCATATTGTTATCATTTGCTTTTTGCAGTGTTTCTTCTCTTATATCTTTCTGTACAAAGAAAAAACTTTAGGCATAAGATCAAGGTTTTCATCAAACTGAATGGATCTATTAGAGTTTTATTAGTAAGCTCTTTATTCGGTAAGTTCTATTAGAGTTTTATTCAATAAGCTCTCTATAGTTACCTATAAGACTGACATGAAGTCTTTATGGTTTACTTTTTGTTCTGTTTTCTAATGACACTGTTATGGTTTTGACTCTATTCACTACAATCTTTGCTTAACCTTTACAGATGTGCCCCTCAATGGTTGGTTCATGCTTAACTTTCAAGCATTGCATAGATGCTTTCCCTTGGTCATCAGTTTACAACACTTTTATATTATAATGTGTTTGGAAGAGCGTGTTGGTGAAGCCAAAAGATTAGCAGCAACTAGAAGACTACAAAACTGATTATGAAGGGCTCATGATGATATTAGAAGACCACAAGTGATTTTCTTTATTGGTGCTAACTGGAAGTAATTTTTAAGCTTTTCTAGATGTTCATGTCTATCCTCTAAGGCAAAATCATACCAAAGAATTCGTCAGCCATCGGTAGAAAATCTTAGATCATCACTTGGTGTGGAAAATTGGGCAGAATATCTTGGATCATCATAGGTTGTACACTTATATTGATTATATTGTATATATGAAGTTATAGATTAAGACATTTGATCATTTAGATATTCATAAGTATATATTTAGTAGAAAATATAATAACTTATTTAGAAAAGTGATATAATGAAATATCAATTGTTTTTTAAGTTATATAAATTTATATATTTGTTATATGTGAGTCTTTATATATTTGATATACGTGAGTCTTTATATATTTGATATATTACCAAAAAACAATAATAGTTTAAATTAAAAAAACTATTATAAAAATAAATGAGATGAAAGCAATTTAAATAAAAATAGAATATTATAAAAAAAATTCTATAGATAAAATTACGATGGTTTAAACCGTCGCAACTAGCATAAATAATATTTAGAATTAGTAAATATAATTACGACGGTTGAAAACCGTCACAATATGGAGATTACGACAGTTAGCTACCCATCGTGAAAACAAATAATATTTAGAATTTGTAAATATAATTATGACGGTTGAAAACCGTCACAATATGGAGATTACGACATTTAGCTACCCTTCATGAAAATAACGACGGTTTGTACGACAGTTTTCACAACCGTCGCAATACGGTCTCGCGACGCACGTTTCTGCGACGGGGTTGAAACCGTCGTAACTTACAAATTGCGACGGTTAAAACCTTCGTAATATGTCAAAATGAACCGTCGCAATTCGCCAATTTTCTTGTAGTGGCAGGATCATCATCTCCCCAGCTGAGTCGTACGCCAACTCCCCAGCACTGGGTCAATGTGCAGTTTTCTTGTAGAAGCCTATTCGCAAGTGTTCAGTTTCCGATAGCTCAGACTGAAGTCTCTAGCGGAATTGAAATCCCCCGGCAGAGTTGTATTCTCCCCGGCAGGTAGGAGTGATTCCAGCGTCTGGTTGCCTATCCTCAGCCGAGTTTGCAGTTTCCCAAGAGATTCGAGTCCTTGGAAAGCGTTCAGGCCATGATTGGTTTTCCCCAGTAGAGATTTGAATAGCTGGTGCTACACTTCCCTATGGGAGTCCGCATCTTCAGGAAGATTTTCTCTGCGAAGGCCGTGCAGTTTATTCCTGCGATTGACATCATTTTCCTCAGCAGTTTGTGGTTCGTGTACCTAGTTGAGCAAGTGCAGGTTCTCATAGAACTTTGTTCCCCTACAGCAGTCGTCTAGAGTTCGTTTCCCCAGGTTAAGTCCAGTTGAGATTTGTGTGACTTCTTCTCCCCGGCAGGATGACTCCTCCTCCCTACCAGAGTGGTTCTTTCTCCTTGACGGGAGGATTTTCTCTTCAGCATTTATTTTGCTGATGGGGCCGTAGCATTTTGCATGATTGCATAACATCTACCCTAAATGCGTAGCATTTCCACCGTGTGGAGCATTGCGACATTGTCAGACATATGCATATGAAACATGAGCTAGGTCGTTACTGTTCTTGTTTTGTAGGTGTTCCTCCGCAGAATGGTTTGCTCAAGATGATTCTTGAATTCCTCAGCAAAGTTGTTTGTTTAAGATGATTCTTAAAATCCCCAGGGAAGTCGCCAAAGTTGTTTGCTCAGGACGATTCTTGAGTCCCTGAGAAGAGTTGGTTGCTCAAGATGATTCTTAGAGTTCCCGGCGAAGTTGTTTGTTCATGATGATTCTTGAATTCCTCAGCAGAGTTTATTTTTCCAGAATGATTTCTGAATCACCCGAAGCAGAGTTACTTGATAGTTATCCAGAATCCCCAGCGGAGATGTGTCATCCCCAGCAGGTTTGGAACAAAGAAGTTGAAAGTTCCCTTGAAGACTTGGTGATTGAAGTCTGGCAGTAGTGCCAAATCTCCTGACTTACTGATGAAGTCCAACTACAATGTCGAAGTAGTTCTCCTAGCTGACGCAAAGTGCTTGACGATAAAAGATTGTATATCCTTATTGATCCGTGATTGATTAAGGATCCCATCTCAAGACTTACTGATGAAATCCAACTGTGATGTCGAAGCAGTTCTCCTAGCTGACGCGGAGTGCCTGAGGGCAAAAGTTTAGATATCCCTATTGGTTCATGATTGACTGAGGATTCTATTTCCGACTTACTGACGTAGTCCGGTTGACGCCCGAGAATTTCTTTGAATTCCCGACGGCATAATTAACTGGATTGTCAAAATTTCCTGATAACCTTATGAGTCCTGAGGAATCCTTCTTCCGCAGTGCTGAAGAATGCCTGACGGCAATATCAGCTATGTATCACCAGTTACCGTGTAACCAGTGATCCCTTGATGATTTGAGGAAGAAGCTGCAGCGAAAACTGATGA